ATCATTCCAATACTGTACGTTATTATGTTCCCCAAACGAAGTTGGGGAACATATTGTTATGTTCCCCAAACGAAGTTGGGGAACATATTGTTTTTACTCTGTTTCTTATTATTATTATGTTCCCCAAACGAAGTTGGGGAACATATTGTTTTTACTCTGTTTCTTATTATTATTATTCTTATTATTATTTTTCTTCTTCCTGGGAAAATTTTGTCCACGAGTGATCTTGTAAACTACACATCCGACTTAGGTGAAACCTTTTTAGGGTCAATAGGCATGTTATGTAGAGTTGCCAAACAAAGGTCATTTTGCGCGCACGTGCTTGCAAGAGCGCGCACGTGCAACACGTGAAATTACCAATATAATGGATATTGCCGTAACTTTTCTATTTTTTAATGAAATTTTTTGAAACTCATAATGTAAGGATACATTAGTAGTATAGTTAAGATAGCATGGTCAAAATAGCAAGATCTCACGCGCATGCACGTGCGCTTCGCTCTGATTGGCTGAAACTAAAGTCTCAATAACTTTCTTGTTTCTTGTCATAATCCTTTGAAATTTTGAACATAGTCCTACATTATGAAGATCAACCGCATGATATAATAAGAATTTTCATGAACGCATGCGCATGTGCGCATGCTGCAAGCTGATTGGCTGAAACTTTAAATGGCAATATCTCCTTTGTTTTTTGACGAAATTCTTTGAAATTTAAAATATAGTCATGCATTAGGATATCCTACAAAATGATATAGAAGAAAAATCATGAAATCACGCGCATGCACGTGTGCTGCAATCTGATTGGCTGAAACTTTAAATGGCTATTTCTCCTTTGTTTTTTGACGAAATTCTTTGAAATTTAAAATATAGTCATGCATTAGGATATCCTACAAAATGATATAGAAGAAAAATCATGAAATAACGTGCATGCACCTGTGCTGCAATCTGATTGGCTGAAACTTTAAATGGCTATAACTCCCTTGTTTTTCAACCAAACAGGATGGGATTTAGAACATAGATAGATGTAAGGGACTCCTACAAGAAGGTATGATCATCATGCACGTGCACGCACGTGCGTGCATTTGAAACGAGTATATTTAAAAATACTCTTGAATGAGTGATTTTTATTACGTTTGGACTGAATGCTTTAATATATAGTATATTAAAATATATAAATAGTGTAGACAAGATGATATGGTCATAACGCACATGCATTCACATGCGCTTGGGTGCAATGCTAAAAATTGAATATAATTGGTATCCTTCTGGGAAAACGTTGTTAAAGTCAAAAATGCACAGAGTTTGTCTTACTTAATGAAGCTTACAGGGAATATGGCACCGAAAGGGAGTTGGGGAGCGTTTGGGGAACATCTGTAACGGTTCCCGTTACAATTAGCACTAGTTATTATTATTTTTCTTCTTCCTGGGAAAATCTTTTCCGCGAATGATCTTGTAAACTACACATCTGACTAAGGTGAAACCTTTTTAGGGTCAGTAGGCATGTTATGTAGATTTGCGGAACGAAGGTCATTTTGCGCGCACGTGCTTGCAAGAGCTGCACGTGCAACGCGTGAAATGACCAATATAATGAATATTGCCGTAACTTTTTAAATTTTAGATAAAATGTTTTGAAACTCATAATATAAGGATGTATTAGTAGCATAGACAAGATGACATGGTCAAAATTGCAAGATCTCACGCGCATGCACGTGCGCTTCGCTCTGATTGGCTGAAACTAAAGTCTCGATATCTTTCTTGTTTTTTGATAAAATCATTTGAAATTTTGAATATAGTCATACATTAGGGAGATATAAAGCCTGGTATAAAAGAATTGTCATGAAAGAATGTGCATGCACGTGTGCTTGCAAGAGCGCGCACGTGCAACACTAGAAATATCCAATATAATTGATATAAACGTAACTATTTAATTTTTTTATGAAATGTTTTGAAAGTTATAATATAAGGATATATCAGAAGCATAGACTAGATGACATGGTCAAAATAGTAAGATCTCACGCGCATGCACGTGCGCTTCGCTCTGATTGGCTGAAACTAAAAGTCTCAGTATCTTTCTCGTTTTTCGACAAAATCCTTTGAAATTTTGAACATGGTTATACATTATAAAGATCTACAGCATGATATATAAGAATTATCATGAAAAGCATGCGCATGCACGTGTGCTGCAATCTGATTGGCTGATATTTTAATTGTCTATAACTTTCTTAGTTTTCAACGAAACGGGATAAAATTTAGAATATGAATAGGTATCATAGATTCCTACATAATGGTACTACATGTATCAAAATTGAATGCACGAACATTCTTTCATGCAAGTGCGCGCGCGAAATACGCAAAAGGGCCAATATTTTTAAAAAACATTAAAATGTATATTGTAAAGATTTTTTTTATTTATTCTCACGATATATAGATATGCTAATTGTTTAGACAACATGCTATGATCATCATGCATGTACATGCACGTGCGTGCGCGTACAATGCGTTAAATGACATATAGTTGATATCATTATACCTTTTATAATTCTTTGATGAAATTCTTCGATACTGATCATATTTTGTAAAATGTCGTACAGGAATTAGGCACAAAAAGGGATTTGGGGAGCATTTGGGGAACATCTGTAACGGTCCCCGTTACAATTAGCACTAGTTTTTACTCTGTTTCTTATTATTATTTTTCTTCTTCCTGGGTACTTTTTTGTCCGCGAGTGATCTTGTAAACTGTTCACCCGAAGTAGGTAAAACCTTTTTAGGGTTAGTTGACATGTTATGTAGATTTGCGGAATCAAGGTCATTTTGCGTGCAAGTGCTTGCAAGAGCGCACACGTGCAACACGTAAAATGACCAATATTATTGTTTGCAGCTAACTGTAAAGTTTCACACTACGTCACGATCTTTTTCGTCAGATGCATCGTAAACAATTCACGTGATTGGTCAATTCAAATTATCAACATTGACATGGAAATAGTCTGTTGCACGAGCAACCAATCAGGGATAAGAAGAAAGTTCCAGTCGATAAGCTTGCGGTAAGGAGGCGTGTAAAATTTACCTTAAGTACAGCTGTCAACTAGATCGTGACGTAACGTGAAACTTTACAGTTAGCTGCAAACGATAATATAATAGATATGGCCGTAACTTTTCTATTTTTTGATTATATGCTTTGAAACTCATAATATGAATATATAATAGTATTATACACATGATGACATGATCAAAATAGCAAGATCTCACGCGCATGCACGTGCGCTTCGCTCTGTTTGGCTGAAACTAAAGTCTCAATATCTTTCTTCTTTTTCGACAAAATCCTTTGAAATTATGAATATGGTCATACACTATATGAAGATCTACAGCATGACATATAAAAATTATCATGAAAGCATGCGCATGCACGTGTGCTGCAATCTGATTGGCCGAAACTATAAATGCCTATAACTTTCTTAGATTTCAACAAAACGGGATGAAATTTAGAATATGAATAGGTATAATGGATTCCCATATTATGCTACTATCAAAATTGAATGCAAGGACATGCATGCACATGCGCAAAATGATTTATATACTTAAAACATGGTAACATTTATATTTGTATCATTTTTTGATTTTAAGTATATTAAAATATGTTAATCGTGTAGCCAACATGCCATGATCATCTTTTATATGTATGAACGTGCGCACGCATGCAGAACGTTGAATGACATTTATAATTGATATCATTATAAATTTTTTATTCTTAAATGAAATCCTTCGATACTAAGCAAATAAAAAAGTCTTACAGGAATAAGGCACAAAAAGGGATTTGGGGAGCGTTTGGGGAACATCTGTAACGGTCCCCGTTACAATTAACACTAGTTTCAATAGTGGTTGCAACATTGCACCTTGTTTGCATTAATTACAGGATCTGTACGTAGCCTTATGATGAAAATCTGAAAACGCTACAGTTATATATGCAGTTAATTCAATCCCTATTTTTTTATTTAGAAGTCTCAAAGGATTTTCAAGTTACGGACTGCACAAATATTTGAAGGAAAGACGAAAACTTTCCTTAGACTGCGAGTTATATTTCTTGTATTAAACTTTCAAATGTTATTAACTACAGATTCTAAATAATGTTTAAAATAATTTTTAAAAACTGTTGATAGGGAACGGATTTTTGTGTTGAAATGCCCGAAAACTACAAACAAGAGTAGTCACGGCGTAGTGGGCAGCGGACGTGTTTTCGCTGTCCTCCGATCGACTTGACATTTTTCGCTAAAAAAGCGTTTATTTTCTTTCTACGACTGTTTGGAAAGAAATATATCGTGTGTATAGTAGGGATGTCAATTTTACTCGGACAGCTTAGTCGAATAGTCGGATGCTTTAGTCGAACGATAGTCGAATATTCGTTTAATTTTATTTATTTTTTCGTACCAGTTTCACTGTTCGTTTTTTTTCAGACTGGTTTACAATATTGAACCTACGCTATCACCATATATAACGAATTTCTGAATTGTAAACATTCACGTAGTGCAATAAAAATTGTACATCAATATTGTATCCAATGTATTTAATTTCAAACTTAATATGTTAGCTGCACGTTTTATCTAAATGCAGGATATCAAACGCCCGTATTTGTCCTGGCTTTCTTTACATAACGGTATTACATGGGTTTATTCCCCGAATGGCTACTGGGATATAACAACAAGTAATTATCACACTCAATTAAGGGGCCCTCTAAGGGGTACAGGTAGACTTACCTGTATGAATAATCTACCAGAATTTAAATAAAATAGAACAGGTTTTCATTTCAATTTTTTTTTATGAGCACTGGTATAAATAAATATTTTGTATACATATTTTTAAATAAAAATATTGTATACACAAACATATTTAAAAATATAAACTATCTTGAAGTTCTATTGTTTAGCAGCACTGATTTTCACATTATAAATACTACTGTTTCACTTTCATATCACACATATTTACAGTATTTACAAGTTATATAGTCCATCTCCATATGTTTCATCACAACTAAGGGATCACTATCCAAGGTGAAGAAGTTCAGAAGCAGAGTCTGTGTAGGTCATAAGATCAATGATGCCATGCTGATACCTTTCTTTCAGTAGCTGCAGTCTTCTCTTTATAGTTGCATACCTTTCTTTCAGTAGCTGCAGTCTTCTCTTTATAGTTGCATACTTCTTCGCTGGAGGTCTAATACTTCCGCCGGCTTCTCTCTGAATCTTTTGGATCTCTTTTGCATTCTGTATGTCTTTGAACATCTTCACCACGACGAAGATGTTGGGATGTGCATGCTGTGCCATTCTTTTGAGTTTTCCATGCCATCCTTCCAGGCTGTTGTTGGTCCGTGGTCCCTCCGTTCCGAAATGATTCCACAGAAGTCTGTCACCATTCACCCACTGTTCTGTCACATAATCTGTAAAGGATTCCGTAGCTTGTGTGAGGTCAGCTTCATCTCTGTCTTCTAGGGCTCGGAACCAAACGTCTTCAATACAGTCAAGGGGAACAAGGGGAAGAACTGCTGCTCGTCTAACCAGAGTCTTTACGTTGTCATCTTCTTTGTAGGGAATCTGTAGTCCTGAGTGTTGAGCTTTTCGCCAAATAGCTTGTGTGAAGTGGAAAAAACAACCCTTGGTTGTTACACCCGGAAACACTTCTCTGATGGAGTTGTGGACTGCTGTCTCGAAGTCAGCTAGAGCACATGTGGGTACAAACTGTAGGCCAAGGTCGTTGACTTTGTCTTGAAGAAGGGTGAAGAATCTTGTATAGATGGCTTGACTCTTTCCTGGTAGTAGGGCATACACAACAGGTGTCATCACATCATCAGTCAGAATATAAATGATGTAGATCTGGTGGAAAAGGCTTGGGCAAGTGTACATGTAGAAAGTCCCGTTACAGAAAAAGGTCTCTGAAGCTGACAAGTCTCGCAGATTGTCTGTTGTTGAGAATGCGAGGATATTACTGTTCTGAATGGTGTTGTCTAGGAGAAGAAAACGTCCCCTATCTCTGTTTCTGTCAATTCCCCTCAAGTCGGATGTCAGCAGCTGTCTTTGGAAGTGGTGGAGTCTGTTTCCGGCGAGCTCTGTAAAGTGATGACTTGGCCGTGTTGAAGGTTGGCAATCTCTCAATGACTTCTCTGCTGGTGTCATCCCACTCGTTGTCTCGCAGCCTGTTGAGTTCCTCTGTGAAGATGGAAGGTATGGGTTTTACTTCTTCTGTGCATCGCCTTGAAATCTGGTTCATGATCTGTTTGGCAACAACCTCGGTGTGATCTGCAGGATGGGCGTGGAGCTGTCTTCCGAATCCTACGGGAACGTTGTTTTCTGTGGAGAGGCCAGCTGAGCTTGGTGTCTGTTCTTCGGTGAATTCTGTAGATGAAACCTTGAAAGGATAAGTTCTGGCCGCCTCTTCTGTTTGTGATGAATTTCACGTTGAGCTGTGCATTCGCCATTGTTGATGGGTGAAGAATGATGTGTCTTCATTTCCATCCCTGTATATATACTATTCTGAAGCTTGTGTTGTTCTTGTATTTACAGCTTGGACTGCATCATTAAGCAAGTTCAGCACTTCATTTCCATCCTTAAATAAATACTATTCTGTAGCTTGTGTTGTTCTTGTATTTACAGCTTGGACTGCATCATTAGGCAGAACAGTTCAGCACATCATTTTCTTTGACACTTATTACGATTTGCTTATTAAAGATTTCAAAGTGAACTGATATCAATTATCAGGTGCTTCATCAATTAGCTTATTAACTTAGGAATTCCATAAAAATCAAAGTGATCTGTTTTTATCTGGAATCGTCTATATTTATTATAAAAATTAAAACATAACTTTTGTATTTTATGATGATTTAAAAGAATGTTTTAATAATTAAAAACAATAAATAAATGAATTGAATTAGACAAAATTTTATTGAAACAATTTATTTATCATACATAAATATGGTTTTTTTTTATTTGTTAATTTGATATTTAAAAGATTTCGAAAATTTAGCACAAACAATTGTTTGTAAATTCTCCAAAAAAAATTAAATTAAAGGTACAATAAAAAAATAATTTTTCTGAAATCTTAATTTTATCTTTTTATATCCATTTATTTATTTATTCAGTATATTTCTGAAAAAAAACTTGAATGAAATAAAAAAGTCAATAAAATTAAATGAATATATCTTATTATTAAAATATTGCTTATCCAGGTAAACACAGGTAAGTCTACCTGTACCCCTTAGAGGGCCCTTTAATTGAGTGTGATAATTACTTGTTGTTTTATTCCAGTAGCCATTCGGGGAACACACCATTACATGTACCCCGTAATTGAAGCCAATTATTACGTGTCCGTCAAAGATCTTTTCACAGGAAAAAAATTAAAGCGTGTCTCTTATAAAAACAAAGAGAGAGCAAGAGCTTGGGATAAATTTAAATTATGAAATTTTGTGCAAACAATCAATGATTGTATGAAATTAATATCAGAAAAAGAAAACACGGTTTAATTACTCTCATATTAACTGACTCCGATTTACATGCATTTACAATTTTGTAATATTATAGCTGTTTACTAGTAATTAATATTTTTTCTTAATTAAGAGTTGTATCACGTCAGATCTTAGTTGAATCTACAAAATCTAAACAATTGCCCTCTCCATTTAAAACAGTCAGAGATAGACAATTATTAATAACATGTTTGATTTTCTTTCCCATTCTGCTTTTTTGTCATTTATGCGGATAACTTACTATAGGAAAGTTTCACTTGAAGACTGTGTATATGTTTGACTGATCGGCATATGATACATCAAGTTTGATGTTACACTGTAGAATTCAGTTCTGTTTCACATATATTTGATAACATTGTTTACCTTTTTAAAGCTATACCAAAACTGTAGATTTTGAAGACATGTTTGCCGAACATGCATCGACGTACAAATAATTTCTTTTGAACAATTAAACCATACCCTTAATTTTACATATGAAAATATTGATCTGTAAATAAATGAAATGGGCAAATATAAGTTTATTGCCTTGAATTCAAAATTACCTTGATGAAACACATTTTTAACAAATAATCGACTAAAGAAATTTTAGCCGAAAGTCGGTATGATCGAACGATAGTCGAGTACTCGAATATTCGTTGACATCCCTAGTGTATAGTGTATATAAAGTGTGATTCTTGTGCATTTACTGCACGTTTGGGATTTAAAATACCCTGAGAGAGCGAATATACCCGGTGTTTACCTGGTGAGTACCTACTCAGGTGTGATATTGACTCACGAGCAGAATTCTATTTATACTTTGTATGCATGTGTTATAACTCAATACATTCTATATCGAATATTTGAAAAATGGATCAAATGCTGAAACCAGTATACTTGAAGAACAACGAGCTTCTATCTGAAAGCGATGATGAACGAATCACAAATTTTGAGATGCTTCAAGCTGTTACTTCGTGCGTCGGTGATGCGGTGAAATGCATCCAATTAGACCGCGATTTGTGGCGAATATATCTGACCAATGCCCACAGCAGAAGTAAAATTCTACTGGAAGGTTTCGATTTTAAAAATCAGCACATATCTCCGTACGACACAAATCCATACTCCGCCGGCCTGGAAGGTCCAAGAGATCAAGCTTTAAAAGTAACAATATGCGGCGTTCCCCTATCCGTGGACGACTCAGCGATACACGAGATGTTAACTAAACTAGGGGTTTCCCCGAAAAGCGATCTTAAGTATGAAAAGATCCGTAACCCGACCAACAACAAAATGACCAACGTCCTGAATGGGAACCGGTTCATCTACCTCGATCCTCCATCAAAGGGACCACTTCCCCGATTCTCTTATTGCGCGGGCCTAAAATGCAAAATATTTCATAGAGGCCAAAATGTTGACAAACCCGCGGTAACATGTACCAAATGCTGGGAAGCCGGGCACTCAGCGCGCAACTGCACAAACGACCGCAGATGTGCCGCTTGCAAAAACACCGGGCATGACCCAGGAGATGAGTGTTGTCCCGAGTATGTTACTGGCAACCCCAAAAATGTGGAAACATTCAGCGGCGAAAAGAACATCCTATCCAACTTCTATTCCTGTAAATTAGACATCTATGGCGAATCCTTTACATCTGCAGAACAAGCCTTCCAACTCACCAAGGCCATTCGTGCCGGCAATCTGATCGCTGCAGAAAAAATCCGGGAAGCTAAAACCGCTCTGGATTGTAAATTCATTGGCAAATCCGTTTCCGAGTCACCACAGTGGCGACAAGATGCTGAATCAGTGATGGAGGAAATCATCGGTGCCAAGGTAGCCCAGTTAAAGGATATGAAGGATCTCCTTATATCATCAAAACCAAATGTCATCTTTGCTCATTCGGTTTACGACCGCTACTGGGGAACCGGGTTAGACGCGGAGAAAACCCTGTGCACAAACCCAGATGCCTGGCCTGGTAAAAATGTGATGGGCAAAATCATTCAGCGAATTGCAGATAAATGCAGACACAGACCACGCGCGGCGTCCCAACCAAGGCCCCAGCGCAAGGCCAAGCAGCAAGGAATTGACAGCTACTTAGGGTAAAATGTTTACTGTAAAATTTAGAAACTCTCTATTTCCTTTTTTTCCTCTCACTTTGTAAAGCAATATTTTTCCTTTTGTCACAATGTCTACCTTAAAATGTCTGTCGTTAAACTGTAGGGGGTTGAATGATTATAACAAAAGATGTATTTTGTATGAGTGGTTAAAAACGTTGACTGCGACAAAGCATTTTTGCAAGAAACTCATTTTGTATCAGAAAAGGAGACGCAGTACAATGCAAGATGGCTAGGGTCTTCTTATCATTGTTTTTCTAATTCCCCCCACAGTAGGGGCGTTACAATATTGTTTAAAAAAGAATTCTCATTTAAGTTTATAAATCAGCACAGATCTAATGACGGTCGCATCATATTGTTAAATATTGAACACGATAACAAAAATATAACCCTTATCAATATATATGCGCCAAACACTGAAAATTTAAGATCTGATTTTTTCAAAAAGGTTTCTAAATGGATATCGCAATATAGTTTAAATGAAGAAAACGTAATTTTTGTTGGCGATCTCAATTGTGATTCAAACAACAAGAGAGACAAAAGCGCAAAAATATTGCAAGATACAATTTCTAAGTTTTCATTTCTTGATCTCTGGTTAAATTTAAATCACCAGAAAAATGGTAATACTTGGTGTGGCGGGCAAAACGTACCTAAAAGTAGAATTGATTACGTATTTTTCACTGACAACTTCTGCCACAAACCTTTAAATTTTCTAATAAAACCGCCAAATGTTTCTAAGTCATCTTGCTCTCGTTTTTAAATGTGAAATTTCTGGAAATACACGCGGAAAAGGTTATTGGAAGTTAAACACATCGATCTTAAAAGAATCGGCGTATTGTGATTTAATCAACAATTTTTTCGCTGACCTACCCGAAGAAATTAGAAATAACAGCAATTGTAAAACTAAATGGGAACTAATTAAGTTTAAAATCAAGAAACTTAGTATTGACTACTGTAAAAACAGAAACAAAACTCAAAGGGAAAAAATACAAAAGATCGAAAACGAAATTGAACAAATGGAAAATAAGCACTTTACAGATATAGATATGATACGAAAAAAAGATCTTGAAAATCAACTTGATAATTATTATGAAAACAAGGCAAAAGGAGCACAAATTCGATCAAGAGCAAGATGGATAGATGAGGGTGAAAAGAATACAGCATACTTTTTAAGGCTCGAAAATAAACATCAATCACATAACGTTATAAACAGAATCAGAGTCAATGAAAAAATCCTTACCAAGACCGACGATATACTTAATCAACTATGTTTATTTTATGAAAACTTGTATTCATCTCAGAAAAT